GAAAGGCTCTAGGGTTTTCTTTTATAGCCCGCTATGCAGGTCATGGAAAGAATTTCCGGCAAAACATCATTACAGTGAGCGCCATCACCATTCACATTTCCTCCACTAGAATCGCGAGCGATTAAATGAGCCGGCCAATTTGGTGAGTCACGGGAAAAGCGTTCGCGAACTGTTTGTGTAGACCACCCTTATCCGAAAAATACAAAGTTAACCGAAGTTGTCTCGTTTTGTGGTGCGATTGCGCCACAGGTCCAAATTTGTCCGATCTCTCTGACTTCAACTTCACGGATTGAAGTTGTTATTCTTCGCAATGGCCAATAAGCCTCTGCGCCATCTTGGTCGCTTTCCTGACAATGTCGCTCCTCCTTTCCACCGCTTTAAAGTTCTTGGTTTCCGAGATAGAAACGTTGAATTACGAACGGGTAAAATTTCTAGTGGAGCTGACAGGGGCAGGTCTTATAATTCTCTAATCATTGATAGGGATATTTTGTTCATATAAGGAGCTTGTAAGATATCTGAAGAGATAGGAACTCATCAAATATTTATGAATAGAGCAAGGGATTTTCCAAACTGCTTGGCAATGGCTCAAGAACCGAGTCGAGCACCAAATGAATAAATCTGGTTTTTTCTTCAGAAGATGAAGACCAAACACGAGAGAAATTTAGTTCTTGGATGTTTTGTCTCAAACGTTCATTTTAATTAGAGATTTGTGATTTCACACGAAGTAATGTTCATTTTCTCAGGGTGACTTATATTATGTATGAAACGATGCAAAAACCAAAAAATAATTATAAAGAAGTTAGAAGAAAAGCCGCTCTTGCCAAAATTGGGTTACAGAGGGTTATTTATAGTGAGGGATCAGTTGTTCATATTAGAAAAATTCCCAGTGGTCTGCTGGTTCCAGAAGTGCAAAATATTAGGGTGTGCTGGTTCCGGAAGTTAGGGTGACCTTATAATTACAACATGAAACACATTGTGGCTGAGAAACCAATAGTAAGACGCTTTGGAAAGGAGACGCTGGAGGCTGTACAGTCTCACTGAAGATAATCGCGTTGCGCGCCGTAGCATGCGAAACGAAAATGGTACTTATAATGGCTTTGTAAACATTTAGCATTGATATCGAACCCGAGTTTTATCGGCTCAGTATTTTTTTCGCTATCGGCATAGGTGTAGTAATGAATGCAACAAATCACAAAGCATTCAAAGCCCATTCTAATTTGAAATTCACTACTGGTTCAGGTTTAGATAGTTTAGCTGCTCAACAACTTCTGATTCTCTGGGTGAAGGCCGAGAAATGGAACCTAATCACTTGCTAAACATCTGGTCGAGTTCGACTGAGTGCATAGCCAATTGTCTCTACTTTTATCAGTACAGTTTCTGCTAATTACCACTTTTTGTCATTGACGATCAACGTCCCGCCAACTTGATCGTTTGACAGTGGTGATTTCGAGAAGTTAAAGACATTTGCATTCAGAGGCCACCTATTGATCATCTGTTATCAATTCGTAGTACTCACCATCATGTACTCGTCCGATGCCCTGTACCACATGTCAGAGCCAAGGTTCTACAGTCACCGCGAAGACTCCAACGGAATAGCAGTCTTCACATTCCGACGCCCCTTATCGATTCTCGTCACTTGGTACCACTTCCTTCACCCACCTTCTTAATCCCCCCTCACCCACCATGATATACACGAGTGCAGACTTATCACTTCCAATGCGAAGGGCGCAAGAAACTGGTGTCCTTGGCATTCCGGCGCATATTATCAGCCGTTATCAGTGGTTATCAATTCCGGTCACCCCCATCAGCGTACATGTCCAGTTCACTGTATACCTTAGAAGTTTGAGCGCTTTAGATACAAAGACGCTGAAGTTACGAAATTGGAAAGACAGACACACGCACAACCGCTTCGCCGATTATACATAGTAACAGTATTGGAGGTGCTATACCGAAAAGATTATACATTCTTCGAGGTCTTCGTCGGTGAATTCGGCGAAGTCTGGAAGATTGGCCCAAGAAGGAACTGAAGAGGTTCACATCGGTAAATACGGAATGGAGTGAGGAAGGGGAAACTTTCAATGTTCATTATGTTGAGCAGCACTATCCAGGATGACTCCCAGCTGCGAAAGCCCTCCCATTCCTTGCACTTGGGAGTGGCCTGACGTACAGTTCTAAAACGAGATAGACAACATCATCTTCAATCGATGGTTTTCCTGACCAACGTCGCTGTTGTTCCAAATCTACACGGGTTCGTCTTTTCTCGAGCAAGTTTTCACATTTCGATGCGTACTGGGAGAGTAACACAGTTCAAGAAGCAGAGCCCCAAGACAGTCATTAATTGGGAGCACTTCACTTTTTTTTGTCTGCTTATGGGAGGACTTGTCATAAAAAACTGACGACGAATACCATCGGCTTGCCGAAGTTCTTCACGATAGCGGCAGGACTGGAGAGCTTAGAAGTCACCAAGCTCGCGGAGCCATGCCGAGAGGCGATAAAAGAAGATCTCAAAGGGCGATGAGCGGCAGTACTAATTGGAACAGCACAAGCTGGGAGGAAAATCTTAACTGCTAGCCGAAACCTTGTCAGCTACAAGACTAAGATGACCTGTCCGACAACCAATGGAACACACCGCATCCCGAAGAGAATGGAGAAAGCTATCCACCACTACCTGTCGGACCTTTTCGATAGCCATGTGTAGCTGACCGTTCATCAACAAGATAGATACAACGTCCCTTCAATTTTCCCGTCCAAGTTCCGACATGCCGTGAAGTCGGGAAAGAAATGTATAGCACCGTTTGTAAAGTGTAGTGAAGCTGAAACGGAACATCTGAAGAACTCATCGCCAGTTATCATTGGAATTCAGGCACACTCTTCACGTGCTAAATGTCGGAAGGCAAGGTACCCACTCCGTGGCAAACCAGCAGAACAGAGTTGCTGTACAAGAAGGACGACATTTATCATTATCGCCCAATCTGCCTGTTGTCTGCAATCTACAAACTATTCACTCGAGTCATCCTTAACAGAATAGGCAGAATACTAGATGAAGGACAACCATGCGAGCAAGCAGGGTTCAGCACAATCGACCATATCCACACGGTTACGAGACTCATTGAAGTTTCGCGGGAGTACAAGGTGCCGCTCTGTCTCATGTTCATAAGCTTGAAGAAGGCCTTCGACTCTGTGGAGACAGAAGCGGTCATCGAAGCCTTGAACAACTAGGGCGTCCCTACTCAGTACATCAAGATTCTTCGTGAGCTTTACAGCAACTTTACAATCAGGATCTCACCATTCTACAAGGCGCCCATTGACAATTATCGAGAATTACAAGAAGGGAGACTTGGACGACATTGACAATGATCGCCCAATTTGCCTGTTGTCTGTGATCTGTAAAATTTGCACTGGAGTCATCCTCAGCAGATTTACAGAATAGTGGATGAAGGACAGCCGTGGGTTCCGAAGAGGATTTAGCACGATGGACCATATCCGCATGATTACGAGAATCGTTAGAGTAGTATAGATGCCGCTTTGCCGCTTTGCCTCACGTTCATCGAATTGAAGAAGGTGATCGACTCTGTAGAGACAGAAGCGGTCACCAAAGCCTTGGGCGAACAAGGCTTTCCTACTCAGTACATGAAAGTTCTTCGTCAGCTCACAGCAAATTTACGGCAGGATTCCTAAAGAAGTCGTCATCGACATGAAGAGAGAGGTTCGGCAGTGCAGCACCATCTCGCTCTAATTCTTTAGCGCTACTTACGAAAACATCATACGTCAACTGCAATGGGAAGACATGGGAGCGAAAGTCGACGGCCGACAACTACAGGCCTGCTGACAATATCGTTCTCATAACGCCGAATATCGAGCAAACAGAGCGACTGCTGGCTGATTTCGACTGCGCCTGTGGTAAAGTCGCTTTGCAGCTTAAATTCACCGAGAGGGCCGGCTATAATGCTCCATCCACGCTCAACGGATCAAGCAACTCAGAATGCTCCAGAACGTGTACCTAGATCGGAAAGTCAAGAGAAAATAAGATAAGAAAACTTCCGGTTCCGTGTCCACCTCTTGCATTTTGCACTCCTTCATGCTTTACCCTACGGCCATACTTGGACTCGAGCATGTGGTCAGCGTTATTGAAGTTGCTGTCAAAAGGACGATGACCGGAGTAGTCCTTTACACCAAGTGTAGATGGAATCCAGAGTTTCTAACTACGCCAACGGTTGAAGGTCAGGGCGCTGGCATCTCGCCAAGTAATCGAAGGTCAGGGGGAGCGGACAACTCATGTTTGTTATGACGGGGATCGGAGCGGTTACCGACCGGATCCATCGGGACGTCAGAATACCTAAGCGGCCGTCAGCGCGATGGTCATACTTCGTTACAAAAGCTCTGAATGGGGACGAATATTGCGTGTTACTCAAGCGGCGGATCCATCGTACCACTATTGAATGCGACAGCGACGAATACTAAGACGTTGTTGCCGTCCGCACAAGCAAATCGATGACCAACAGGACGACAGTTGACAAGTGATCCCGGCTCAATACTTTTGCATTCGTGTGCAAAAGTCACACCAGTCTGATCCTGAGGCATGCCTTCTAAAAAGAATCAATGACTTTTGCTAAATTCATTTAAATCTTCCCATTTGAGGATCAGTTCACTTCATTTTTGTAATAGCCCTTGATATCGATGACATCAGATAGATTGCCCAGGGGAACATGGTGCGCGATTCGAGCCCAAGGAGGCCCTGGACAGATCGTGGACCATTACGACATTATCTGAACCACTTTTAAGCAACAACGCAGGGGTCACGCACCTCTCGAATCATGCACAAGAGGTGTAGCAGAGGCCGATGAAAGACTGCGGCGAGAAGAAGTGGGTCGCTGTGAGATTAATGCAACAAGTTCAAGCGGCTCTTCATAATTCTCTCACTCAACTTCCCTTTCTTTGCAGAGGAGCGTTTCGGGAAGCGTACAGAGCCATTAGATCAATACCAACGAATCAAGTAAACGTCAAACAAAAAGAAAACTCACGTAGTGACATTTACTGCCGTCCTTACCGGCCTTTAGATCCTTATAAGATTCCCGAACAAAGTCAGTTGGAGATCCATCGGTCCACTTCAAAGCTCCCTCCTCCCTCCGCAAGCCTGTCAGTACACGCACATCTGCGGCATCTGTGCCGCTTCTCATCTTCATCACCCTCATCACCAGCTCTGAAGAGATGAAGAAATTACTAAAACAGTTCATTGCCTGCTTGAGGACGCACTTTTTGCCACTTGGGACAGCGAGGCTCGATGTGGGGACGCAGCATATAGATAATTCTTCTGCATAGGATTTCCAGAATTAATTTAGTGGAGCTTGCCATTTTCGAATGCACAAGGCTGGCTTTTTACTTTCCATCAGCTAGAGTAGTTATGCGACTTTTCACAAGAGGAGATCTGGATCCGAATCAGCTTACGGATTTTAGAATAGAAAATTGGAGTGTTTACAACTTGCTGCGAAATTCACCTTGGAAAAAGAAAGATACACTCATTCTGCGATCGGCAACAGTGTGACGTACAAAGTCTCAACAGTTTCTGCTTTGAGACTCAAAATTTTTAGTGCTGAAGGTTTGCCTTATCATGGCGCGTTTTTTAAAAATATTGAAAAAGGCGTGGTCCTATGTGGCAGCCATTTTATCTTCGTCAGTTTATACACTTTTCCCGGTATACGGGATTGTTTGGAACCAAAAAGTTCGATAGCAAACTCCGCCTATCTCATTGCACGCTCCACCCACCAACACAATGCACTTGACCTCTCTTTATTTGTCAACCTCTACTCACGTTTCTCCACGTCCTTGAGGTTCTTGATCCGAGCTACAAGCCTGTTGGCAAACTCCGCCCACTCCTGTGCACGCCACACCCACTAACATCTTTGATCCTTCTTCCCGTCTCTGGACTCTGCCCAATTTTTTTTCCTGTTTTGGAACCTCTCGCAGCCGTGTTGTTACCTTTCGTCGCAAACTCCCCCACTTTCTTCCACGCCTTTTGATAGCGGTTGACTTTCTAACCTTCGCCGACCTCTAGCCTCTTTTTTCGGTCTTGGGACTTTTCGGAACTAACTTATGAAGATTTATTATCAACATTGCCCATTCGGAAGCACGCTCCGCCTATTGTAGGCAGCCTTTCGCTCAGTTCGGATATGCTAATGGCCTTTTCAGATACCTTTCCTGTTCCGAAAACCGAGTTACGAGTTTGTTCTTCAAGTCCGCTTTCCCACAAGCTCTCACATACTCGACTAATCAGCTCATTTTACATCTAGTTTTGAGCTGATCTATAACCACTCGGAACTTTTGCCGTCAGCGGTGTACATTCAAGTGCGTGCCCCGCCCATCATGGGTGGAGCTCCGCCTCAGCGAGTTGGTATGTGATCCGTACTCCACGGCCTGTGCTCAGACCATCCAGAGCTTGACCCACTCTGCAAATGGTTTCAGGTAGTGACAGCCTTGGCGACGCACACGCACAAATACAAGCTTACACACCGCACACACAGCACACACACACTTCACACCGCACACACGCACACACAGGCACCGCACCACGCCATTAGGTTTTCGCGTCTATGAAATGATATTGAGAACCTCCTATGAACTCCATCTCGTTTTCGGAATGAACAGACGTCAGATGGGAGTCATCTTGTTTGCAAAACGCTTCCGCTTTATCGAAAGAATCACCAACATCGCTCATCTTCGCCACCTGAAAGAGACCATAGTGAAACTAATTATCCTGTTTGAAATAGCAGTCATAATTTAATAGCAGACTCCGCTGACTCACTTTGATTACTGCTTCATCAACACCGTCGCGTAGAGCAACCCATGCACCATTTTTGGCTCTTTTAACCGTATCGTAGTCGATGGCAGAGTGACAGACCGGATAGAGGGTCCATAGTAGCAACACGTAGCAATGAACGTAGGCAAGCACCATTATCACTTGACAGAGGAAAATGACTTCACCCCAGCCTCCCAGCTTTTATATTGTTCCTTATCACAATGACCACCACGGCCTATCAGATGCTTGCTTCGACCAGTGAAAACGTGTATTGGTTTCACTTTGTTTGATCTTCCTTTGTGAATCACTAACGTATTTCTCGGATTGCAGAATGTCAGTATGAATGTACCCTTTTGTACTATCGGACACAGGAAGCCTATCTTGTAGCCAAGGGCCAAAGATTTAGGGATATCACGGCGCGAGTTGTCCCACCTATCCTCGCGGCCATTTACAAAAACTGTGGAAGAGAAGGCGAAGTAATAACGTGAAGTGGCCAACTCGTTCTTCCTCTGCATCTCCGACTCCTTGCGCGAAAGGCCTTCTTTCAGGTAACCTATCTTTTGTACGCGGCCTCTAGGTGCGCCTGCAGTGCAGGCCTTATAAAATTGTAATAGTAGTGACAGTGACGTCGGCCTTGGCATGGTGCTTCTTCTGCCAACGAAATAAATGAGCGAATCCAGTTGTTTTCCACTAATTGTCATTAGTTACCAATGGCTGTCATTGATGAATTATCTGCCGTCCTTATGACCACTGAATTCTTTTGGAAACTGTCTTCATTTGTAATGTGAATCTACAGTGCAGACGCTTCGTCACAGTACTTGAGGGTATGCCCTGTTTCCGAAAACCAGAAAATCGTCGACTGCAGACCACCGTACACGAATCACGAGGCCTTCGCAAAGTGTAAAAGATTTCTACCATTGGTAGCCGGTTGCACTTGCAATCTATTTGTTGACGTTTATTGCAACTATCATATAGCATCTATTATCATTCACTATGTGCAGTAGTTATCAGATTTATTTGAAGGCCGTCGTCGATCACGTAGTGCTGTCTGCACTCGACCCGTTTCTGGTTGGTAGCCAAAGATGCATGCGTGAATGTCTGTTTGTCTGTCCACAAACTCCGAAGCTAGGATCATCCGACAAAAATGAAGACCTTTTTGTTACTATATTCTCTTACCAGTTTAGCTTCGCAAGCGACTGCGCGCATCACATGTGGGATTCAGTGAGATTGGACTACTCGCAAAATATTAGGCCACGTGGTCGAGAAACCAATAGTGAGATCGAAAGATGCGTCAGATGAAATCAAGAGATTGTCCAAATTCGCCGAAGATTATCGCGTAGTACGCGCAGTGCATGCGGAATAAAGCTGGTACTTATCATGACTAAACATTAATGGAGTGTTCATAGTTGGCGATTAGGCGATTAGGCGATCAGTCTACATGAAAAATATACGTACAGATTCGGCGAGTAGGCGAGTAGGCGAGTAGGCGATCAGGCGAGTAGGCGATTAGGCGGGAAAGACTACATACGTATCGACTTGTATGCTCCGCCCTGAGGACGTTGTAGGCGAGTAGGCGAGTAGGCGAAGAAGGGAGTAGGCGATTAGGCTATTAATCATCATCTACGATTGTGGAGCGGTAGATCTTCTGTGACTTTTTGTTGAGGACCTCCATACTTTACTTTTATTTGTTTCATAATCGTCTCTTAAAGTATCTATATGGTTAGTAAGGATTTCTATAGGAGACAAAACATATGACAGATATGAATCTGAACACAAGCTTTTCACAGCCCAATCATAGGTTTAATCAACTTAACTCGAGTTTTTTAGACTGCCCCATGAGATATCGTCAGGATGAGATGTTCCCCAGATATTCCCAGCGAAACTTCCCCAGGAGATTTATCTTTTTGAAAGAGAATATGACAATTCCTACTTTGTAATAAATATGGATGCTGTTGTAAAAAGACCGTATCAACTTTTAGTTAAAATTCATTATGTCTGCACAAGGCACACGTGGAAAACGACCCAACACCAATGAGAATCTAAATCGACCATGAACATCCACACAAATGGATTGAACCCACCTGAGCTGCGCTAATGATGAATTAACATTAACCTCGCGCTTATTCTTAGACGAGTCCTACTTGACGTGGCATAAGCGTGTCACTCAGATAAGAGACGATACCACACTGAGGCATTGTTCATAGTTTTGGAACCATGGGAAATTTCGATTATGCGAAAAGAAAAAGATACGTATCGACCAGGAGAATTTCTACACGCGCGGCGGATGCGAAAAGGTTTAGATACGTATCGACGTAGTAAACACTGCCCTATTAGCGTTGCTAGAGGTATTTCGCACCGCTGTTTCGATGCTGCGATTTCCAATGCGCGATTCGAAGCCCCTCCCATTTTGTGGATCGATACGCACTTCATTCATTTCGCATTTGCGCAGATTCGTTCGGTTCGAGCGTCCTCCTCTCGTGGCGCAAATTATGAACAATGCCTGATACAAAATCTTTTATGAGGACCGCAGCCACGTCTGCCACGTAGCAAACCGTGCTGCAGAAGAGCACACATTCACTGAATTCAGAAAAAAAGATTACTTACATTACATAACTGTACAAAGAACGGGTACAAAACTAAAAGCATTTCCTGATTTGCACACGGCGCACTCTTGAGTCGTCAAAACTGAGGTGCATAGGCATATTAGCTTCTCACCCCTACACTAGACTACTAGTTGTTAAGAGCAGGTCTTGTCAAAGTGTTGCATCCAATGATATCATCTGATCGCCTACTCGCCTATCGCCTACTCGCCTGATCGCCTACTCGCCTACTCGCCTAATCGCCTACCCGCCTACTCGCCTAATCGCCTAATCGCCTAACCAATCTGTATACTTTTCACTTTGAATCACCGCCTAATCGCCTAATCGCCTAATCGCACGCACGATCGCCAACTATGAACGCTCCATAAGCATTCATATCGAGCTCGGATGATATAGCTGTCGATAGAATTTTCACTATTAGGGTATCGGTGTGGGGGTGAAATATGATCAATCAATCAGCATCTAGCCTAACTCTGATGGAATTTCGCTATTGGTCAGTCCATAGAGTTGAGTGGCTCAAGTTCCTTTTTTCGGGTGAAAGGTTAGGAACTGAACATACTCACGTGCTAAGAACCTGGTTCAGTTCGAATGAGCGCACACTCAATTATTGCCACGTTTATCAGTATAGTTGGCGCGCATTACCACTGTCACCCACCATCAACACCTCGCTCATTTGATCGTTTGCCAGTGATGACTGCAGCGAAGTTGGGACATTTGCATTCACGCTCCTTATCGTTCCCTATCATTTTTTATTTATTTTTCTTTTCATACCGATCACCATCGTTGTTACCGTCCCACACCCATGCAATGTGTAGGAGTTAGTGTTTTACTGTCGCCACGAAGGCTACAACGAAATTGGTGGTACTCAAATTCTTAACCTCCTTGTCAACTGTTATCAGTTAATATCACTTTCGATCAACCACTATCCGTGCTTCCGTGCTATCCCTTATGCCACTTTTACGAGCCAAGGTTTTCTGATCGATTAGTTTCCCACCAGCTTTGCTCCGCCCGGTATCACACGGCCTAAGATTCCGCAGGCACTCCAGGTATATTTATCACACATAGCTCTATGAACACTCGGCCATTCTCCTGAATTTTGATAATTAGCGGTGAATAGGGTTATGGTGTTAGCCTCACAATTAACATTATCATAAGTGAGCATCTGATCCTTCATTCACAAAGTTCGCAAATCCCAAGCTTTGGCGGTCATTAAATGAGGTCTGGTCTTCTTGGTACTAAATCAAGAATGGAATGTACCATTCGCCAAGAATCTGCTCATTATATCGAGAGAATGTAGAGGACCCACTCCTAATAACACTTATGAAAAAAATGAATGAATGAAAAAAAATGAATTCATGAAAAAAGCCCCATAGTGAAAACGTGAACTGCGCAATGGAATTGCCGACTTATGCCTTCTAAGACTCCTTATCAGCCCCTATCAGTTGCTATCATTTTTGTCGCCCACCTAGATTGTCCAGGTACCACCCCATATAACACTTGTGATTATGAACGCTCAAGTGTCAATGTCAGCTGCTCAACGGAATGGGGACTTGTGAGTTCAAGGCGCCCTGACAGCCCTTATTAGTTTCTCTCATCCTATTTCACCCCAGAGTCCCGGTAACACCTTACATAACATTGTAAGTATGAACGCTCTAGTGTCAACGCGAACGCTCGAGTCAAATTTAATGAAAAGAAAACATCGAGAAAGATTGGGAGCAAAATTAAAACGAAAGTAAAATGAAACAAAGGAAAGTAACTGACGAATACACAGGCGCGGGAAGCAGTGGGTTCTTGTATTTGTCGCGCGGTGACTGCCCACAGGCCGAATTCTTAGCGCTTGCTTTACAGCTAAACCCTCGAAATGAATTCGATCCTACTGAATGGTTGTTCTTATACTGGTAGGAAAGTGGCATCACAATCACGATATCTTTCGCCTCTAGTCGACCGTTTTGCGGACGGACAGACAGACGTGCAAACGCAAACACAAACAAACCGACACACCAAAATTCTGAATTATATAATGAAGTGAAAGTGATATTTTTAGCCAACTTTGTTTAATTTTGGAGCCGGTGCAAAATCATAAGACACACTCTTTCAAAACCTTATAAATACAGAAATACGGTCGAATCTCATTGCTCTAGTACTTCGAAAAGGAACACTTAGGAGATCCATTCTATCCATACAGGAAGAAAGGCTGCCGCAACTTTTTAATTTTTATACATATTCAAATCACAGTGGTGCGCATCAGTTTGGAATCTTCTGCTCCAACTTTGGAATTGTGTTCATCCTGTGAGTATTTTCGCAGCCATTGCTGACAATGGTTCTCCAAGTGAGTTTGGGCATATCTCAGACTCCTTACTGGCCATTCAATTAAAGTCATTAGGCTAGTTTGTAACCACTGGTCCATCGGAGCCTCCACGTCACTTCAATATGCGTTAGTTAACAGAAAGGTAGGCTTTTGTGCAAAATCCATAGGAGAGAAGAGAGATAGATTGCAGCTTTTCTGTGCTCTGGAAACTCATTCCAGTGGCGATATATTTCTGGTTTAGGACTCAG